CTTGTGCTGAACTGAATTTGGTTTGGAAAATAAAGGAAGGCATCATTTCCTTCACTTCTTATCTGATGCAAGAGAAATCATGAAAAATAATTAAAAAGTTAGAAGTAAATGAAAAACCTGAGTTAAAATAACTCATTTAGTATTACTGGAGATAGATATCAATGAAGGTCACATTCTGAGTAGGTGGAATTATAAAGTAGATTTTTATCCAGAGCGAGGCTGGAAGGAGGCCTGAATATGACCAGCTGGGCTGCACATCACCCATACCTTCAGGATGCTGACTGCAGAGGGCCATATTCATTTGTATATTTATGCGTTAGTTATAAACCAACACCCTTACTTTATATAATCCTTCATCCTTCATATCATGTGAATGCTCATATAAAGATAGCAATTAATTAAATGAAAAGGTTTTTGTTATCAATAGCCAGATGATTAATTATATGAGATGTCTCCTCTAATTGAGGAACAGTAACATTTGGTGCAGGTGCTGCATGACGTTGGAGAAGGGAGGTAGCATCTGAAGATAAACATTAGCAGAGAGTCTAATATGACTCTGAGATAATCTCTGTCATATTTTGATAGTCTGCACTGACTTCTCCTCAAGGATTCATGAAAGTAAAGAATTCAGCCCTGCGAAGTCACTGCAATATTGACTTACTCATCCTGTGCCTGGAAACACACACAAGAGGTTTAACAGTATGTGTTTTATCAGGCTAGACCTCTTTTAAAATGAAAGAATGATCCCTTTTCTTGTTCAGACATGATACCAGTGAACCCATTTGAAAAAAAAATTAGAGGAGCTGTATTGTTTCTTAACTCTATATTGCCTCATTTTTCCAGAACCAGCTTTCTTGTCTCCATAAGAGACAATCCTTTGAGTAAGTTTGATAGCTTGATGCCTTCTAACTCTAGCCACATGATTCCCTTTATGTTTCACTCAACTGGTGAAATACGGTTTCTTCTTCTTAATTCCTTGTACAAGTATTTATTATATCCCTGAAAAAAAATTCCAGATATTGAAAATTTACTCTGTGCATGTCATGTCATTGTTTGAAGTGTGACATGAACCACCTTGTTTACTTCTCACAGTAGCGATATTGAGTATGGGAAGACGTCTTTGTCTCCATTTTGAATATGATGCCTACCGAAATTAGGCAACTTGCCTGAGGTTGAGTAGTTAGTGAAGTGGAACTTAGACTGGGACCCATTTCTGTCTTGCTTCAGAGACCAAGTTTTAAGTACTACATTCTCCTTGGAGGGATCCAATCCCCACTCCCCACCCAGCCACCCCGAATCACCTCGTTCTATCTTTAATTCTTTGAATAGAACTTATAACTTTATAGCTTTGTTGTTGTTTTTCTCTACTGTTCAGTTAATCCTCTCCTCTCTCTCCTTTGCTAGAGTGTAAGCTTGAGAACAGACATCTGTTATCTACTTCAGCGCTCTGTAACAGCACCTAGAATAATGTCTGGCATGGTGTAGGCACCCAATACATGATAGTTGAACAAATGGAAACAATTGGCAAGGTGCTAATTTTCTGCTTTCTTGTTGCTCCCAGGCTGAGGAAAAGACAGACTTGTGTAGACAATTAAGGAACAACATGGAGAGTGCTGTAACAGAGTTGGGAAGACTGCCAAGGGGATCATGGAGGCTGCACCGATACGCTGGTATTTGCTCTAGCTATTGTGGAGAAAAGAAGGGCATAAAGGGAGCAATGAGAAGCAGATGAAATCTCAGAAGCAAGAAGTCAGAATTTGTGTAGAGAATGAGGAAGTCATCCTGGGTATCTCACTGTGAAGAGGCACATCTACCTGGCCTTGAGATTCCTCCTGCAGGGTCGCCAAGCATTCTGAACTGACCATTCACATTGCCTTCGTGACCTTCTTTGTAATGGTTCATTTACCTCTCTGTCTCCCACCAGGGCTGTGAGATTTTTGATGCAAGGAACCAGGACAAGCTGAAAGTGAGCTCCTTTCAGGCAAGGATTTTATCTTAGCTCTCTTTGTATTCTCATAGCTTAGTATGGTGCTGCTAATTGGCGGCCCTCGGTACATGTACAATGTAAAATAAATGTATAATGAATGAATGGGTGAATGACATGGCTTAATAGCAGTTTATTTAAAAAGTTTTAAGTTTAAGTTGAGAACAAGCAGCAAAAATAGTTAATGTGGTCTTGGGTAGCAACAATGAAAGGGTAGTGTCTGGTTTCTGAATATATAGAATCTTGGAACTATGGAGATAGAAATGATAAGGAAAATAAGACTGGTGGACCGGTGATGTGAAATGACTTACTCATGGTTCCACAACAAATTTGTGATCGGAGTAGGAACTTGAATTTAGAGATCGTGGCTTTCAGTTAAATTTGATTTTTTACAAGTGCAACTATATTCTCTCCTGGTGAGACCACAACTGTGCAATTCTGAGCTCTACACTTAAAGAAATGTGTAGACAAAGTAGAATTTGTCCAACGAAGGCTGATCCACATGCTAGGGGAGAGTGGAAACTGTATCACATGAAGATCAGGGTGAGAACATTAAGGGTGTTTCATCCCGAGAAGAAAGTACTTGCAAAAGGGCTGCCAGGTGAGTGGAAAAATCATATGTGTTCTAATATTTTTAAGATTTTTTTTTTATTTGACACAGAGAGCACAAGCAGAGGGAGAGAGGGGGAGAAGCAGGCTCCCTGCTGAGCAAGGAGCCTGATGTGGGACTCAATCCCAGCACCCTGGGATCATGACCTGGGCCGAAGGCAGCCACTTAACCGACTGAGCTACCCAGGCGTCCCGTGTTCTAATATTTTTAAATATATAAGTCATTATTCCTTTGCTCCAGAAAGGAAAAATAAGAGCGGTGGGTAGAAATCACAGAGAAGTAAATTTCAACTCAATCTGAGACAAGGAATAATGTCTCAAGATTAGAAGTAACCAAGAATGAAATTCCAAATTATGAGAAATATGTAAGTAGAGGTTGGATGATTATCTGTCAGGACTAGATTGTGAGTTTCTTTAGAGTAAAGATCCCGTTTTACTTGTATTTCCCCAAGACTTTGAATGGTGCTTGGCACATAGTATATGCTCACTTATGACTCCCTATGTATCTTTTAAAAGGACTTCTTTTATGGGGTAGGTGAGCATGGAGGTAAATAGGAATGCACTGTATTATTAAACCATGGACTTTTCCAACACTTAGGTTTATGATTCTTTGATAAAAAATCCTGCAAAATAGCATGCCAATATTTAGCAAAGCAAGTCATTTCATACTCTTAACAGGCAAAGGTCGGTGGAATTGCGGTTTCTTTTAATTCTACTAAGCTCTATAGTGTTGCATTGTTGCTCTTCCTTTAGGTGGAAGGGTTTGCCGTTGACTACGGTCTGACAAAGGAGATCACTGCTAGTGTATCTCTGCACTTGTTAATCAAACTAAAGCTCCATGCACACGTTCAAATGGAGTGTGTTTTGTACAAGTAGCATAAGACCGATTTATGGAACCACTTGCGTGATGGTTATGCCCATAGATTCACACTTTTCAGAGTGCCGACTAACCTAGAAAACCAAGTGTTTCAGCATCCTAAATCTTATTTTGATTGTCACCATTTTTGAATGTTTTTATAAATATCATCAATATCACTTCAGGAAACCTATTTTCACCGAATATTTTATATCCAGAATGTGTTGATTTGATATTTGTCTTTTTTTTTTTTTTTGAACACAGGAGTGTCATTCCTTTTAGTCCATGTGGAGGTCATTGAAAGGAGGCAAAGAAAGCTCTAGATTCACTTTACTAGCCACTACAAGCTGGGGAGAACTAAGCGAGAATAAGGCAATTATTTGATTTGTTATTTACCTCATATTCTTTGAGAATTTTCATATTTTATTTCTTTCCAAAGTGATCATACCTATTTATATGCTCAAGAATTCCTATCAACTTCCCACTAAATTCTTTTAGGTGCTATGGGATTAATTTGCTTTCTTATCTCAGCATTTAAATATGCTTACAATGTATTTCTCTGTTTTTTTATGAACTATCATCATCACTGTAGTCCCACTTCAAATTATGGGTCAGCATTTGCCATAAAGCTATTCATAAGGAATTTGGTGGCGATTCCAACTTCTTTTTAAAGAACTCTATGCGATAAATGTAGCAAGGTGCTTCTGAGAATCTATGATTCTGGTGTTTCACTTTTAATGATGTTAATAAATTTTTCTGCAAGTTCTTAATTCCACTCACCTAAATGGAACAGATTTTGTGCTCTGCATATTCCTGATATGTAACTTGTTCCTGACCCTTCAGGTAAGTGCACTTAACAGCGAGATTCTCAGATGCTTTCCAAATAAAAACCAATATCTTCTTTCCCTCTCTTTTATGAGTTATAGAACACTTTCCCTCCCCTTCTTCTTTGATTTAATTTATATGCCAGAGATTTTTCAGCTCTGGGGATGAAAATGGAAGACCAGGGAAGAAAGTTGATGAAATAGAGATGATTCAAAGATCTGAAATATTTTATCCTCACTCGATATAAAGTAAATTATTTTTTCTCTTTTCCAATAACCATCATTTCCCTTGATCTTGGAATCACTCAAAACCTAGCCACCGAGTCCTGTATAAACTAATGCTCTGTCTCAAGATGTGGGGAAAGATGAACTATTGGTACCTGTACAGATTGTGCCAGCTCGGTTATATTTACAGTTATGAGATACCGCAAATTTAAGAATGCCAATTTTTTCTCATCACTGAGTATTTATTATATATAACAAATACATGGGAAAGAAAAAACTATATTGTGTGATATAAATAGTTTATTTACATTACAGAAAAAACATCAAGACAATGTATACTATTTCAAATATATCCATACATAATCAAATATAGCTGTAGTACATGTTTTCATTGGTGTAGATTACCACAAATGCAAGGCAACATGTGTAGATCTCTTGTCTTATTCTTTTGTCTATAATACTGTATTGTGTAGTCCCAGCTCTCAGAAGTCCGGCCACTGTGCAACATGCTCCCTTTAGATTAACCTCGTGGATGCTCTTGTTGTGTTGTCTGAACTGTAGTGCCCTGTATTTTGCTTCTGTCTGTGAATTCTGTTGCTTCTGGGGCATTTCCTAGAAGGTTGGAAAGTTTACAAATCTTAGTCCAGTGCTGTTACCTGAAGTTTGGTCCTACAATTACAGAGTGAAGTTGTCGATTAAGCCAATTGTTAAAATATTTCAGACAAAAGAACTTATTAGTAGTAGTAGCTGGGATTATTTTGGAAGACTTTTTTTTTGCTTCTCCTTGCCGTTGTCTTTAAGCATCTGTTGGGGAGCACTGAAGAGCAGAGGCAGAAGGTGAAGAGGAATACATTTACCTGGTCCTCAACCGCTTACTCGGGAAGGCACAAAAATGACTCAGCACAAGGCAGTCAAGCAAGTTGTGAGCTCATCTAATCTCACTTTAAATGTCTTCAACAATTTTATATTTTAAATGTCCTCAAGATGAATGTTATATTGACATTTCACTGCTACAAGTTTAAATCCTATCCAACCATAGAATGAGCCAACTCTTAATATCTGATATGTAATGAAAAGGGATATTGTTTTGGTTCAGCCTGATATTATTTTTATATATTAGTACCATAAGCTGGAGACATAAATTGGTACCAACTATTTTGCTTCTATAAAAGCTAAATTCAGTCAAGTTATCTGAAAAGCTCTGGTCTGGTGTCTTTTCTCTTATAATAAACAAATGCTTTGATGATGCAAATAAGAACAATATAAAGTTCATATAAAATCTTATTACAATAAGATGGCTTTCAGAAATTATACATTCATGTATATGTTCATATATGAATAAATATATATAATATATATATATATTTTTTTACAGAGGTGTGGTAGATCAATCAAAATGAACATGGAGCTGAAAGTCACATTCCCAGCAAGTGGGAGCTGGAGACAAAAAGATTGAAAATCCATCTTCTCAACGGGGCAACTCTTCATTCCAGAGCATGTCTCTAGATGTCTATATTTTTATGACACATGCTGTATTTAGAAGGAGGGTGGATGTTTGACTAAAATAATAAAAACAAGGGGAAGCAATTAGAAAAAAAGAAATTGGGAGGAGGGGAAGAGAGAGAAAAGAAGAGAGACCAGGGGATGGAGAAATTAACAGAAAATTGAAGAGAATGAAAGGACCTCTGCTTGGTGCAATTTGTCCCTCTTTTAACAAGAGGGTATGTTGGAATAGGTCTTGACAGACAATTGTGGTCAAGGTGGCCAGAAAAGGGGAGGGTTAGGGGAGGGGCAGATGACCTAGGTGGAAAATCTGGTTTTTAAGTAGAACATTCTCAAGTGAGTAGAAAGAATCCACACTGGGAAGAGTGTGCCTTTTTGACTAGTGTGACTCCTGGAAAGACTTTGGAAGACTTGGACATCCTAAGACAGCTTTATAAAATGCATTACAAAAATGCTAATTTAGCTCATGTACTCTTCCTCAAAAGTAAATAGAGACTAGGTTTTGTTTTGTTTTAACATGGAAAATGAAAATGGCCATATGCCTTAAAAAATGTCTTCCTTCTAATTTGGAGCTCATTTTAGGTTGTCTTGAGCATCGGAATACACGACATTATGACCAGCCGAGGGGCAGTATGAGCAGGGTTTAAGTGCACAGGCTCTGACACTAGGCAGCCCGGACTCCACAGCTGCTCTTATTGCTCAGCTGCGTACACTTAACAATTTGCTAACTTCTCATACCTCAGGATTCCTGTTTTGAAAACGGGGATCATTGTTCCGTCTTCATATGTTATTAAATGTATATGCGTGTGCACACACATGTATGATATATACACACATATAACATATACATAATGCTTGGTGAAATAAGAACCCTACGTATTCCAGCTATTCTTACAATCTATGGGAACAGAACTGTGATTAATAACAAACTTGAGAACTTCTGCTAAAGTATTGAAAGTTTTGCATTTTTGTCAGTACATGAAGTAGCAAATCCAACTGTAATGAGATTAGATCTATTAAATGGGAATCTGGTTTTTCATGTGCTGACGTGGTGTACATATCGGAAGACTCAAGACCCTTAGAGTAATATGGCACCACTTCTTGTGTTTTAGATTCTTTTCTATCTTTGCTTTATACTCAGTATTTTTGGTTTCTTGAGTTATCTTTATGTTCCCCAGAATCTATTTTAGTATAATCCATTGACTCACTTGGCATCTAAACGTGAGAGTCTAGTTGATGAGCTCAGCTTGGCTTTGAGCAGCACAAAGCTCCAGTCGATGATCTTCCCTTAAGCTTTTAGGCCCGGCAAGGATTTATGAACCATATTTTGTCTTTTTCAAGAGCAAATGCCACACTTGTCCTCAAAGAAGATAGTGCAGCACAGCTATGGAGATGTATTATGGCCTTTATTCTCTAAAGATATGATACTTTCTTTTATTTTCCTGTCTTTGGAAAATAATTTTGGGGGAAACATTCTGATTTACTGTAGAGCTTCACAAATGAACGAAAGTTTAAATGTCTTGTGAATTTGGCAAAAAACTTAAAAAACTTTCTTGGAACTTTTTTTCTCAAGGAGCATGAAATCAGGTCAGAAAGAAGTATCTTCAATAGTATTTCCAGTTAGGGCATAAATAATATGGATTTGGTTGCCATGAATTTACACACTGATGAAGTTAAGCAAGTAATACCTGGCCTTACCCCTTTACTCCAAGCACAGTGTCAGACATCACTAATTAACCATGATTTTCTCTCCTATTGAAACTGGATGAGGTCTCTGGATCCCTTTCAATCTTAGCTCTCCAGATACAATTACCATTTGATTGTTCTGGAGGTTTGGTATAAACGCTTGTTGTCATATTTGCTGCATGTTTCCATATATCAAAGGTTTTCATGCACTGCAGCATACTCTTTTTTATTGTAGCTATTTTCTTTGAATTTTGTGATTAAAAACTATTTTAAATTAACATAAAAATGTACCTGTTGTTTACATCAAATATGTTAAAAATGATTATATCAGCGTTACAATTGGAAATAAGTACCATAAATGAACGCTATCCTTTAACACTATTCTAGGCCTTGTATACAATCTCTTCTCACCTCTTTTGGCATACTGATCTGGGTAAATAAGACAACACTGTCATCTCAATAGTTTGTTAGTAGTTTGAACGAAAACTGACTTTCCATAGCTAAAAGAGAAAACCATATTTAAACAAAGATTGGCATCACATAGTAGAGAAAACCAGATCTTTGCCTCAAAAATAAATAATCCTCATCAAAAGGCAAAAATAAGGAAAATACTTTGTAGCTCTCCAGCATGAAAATCAATGCTATTCACATGCTGTTATGATGAGGAAACTGGACTCCTGAGAATGGATGGCCGCCGAGTACACAAAGGGACTCCTACGTAGAGTAACCTAAGTAAGGCAAGGAGGAACACCAGATTCCCTTAGCTGAGTGGCCATTGAGCACATTACTGACCTTGTGATGCAGAGAACCACCACACAGATGACAGCAATCTGAATGGTCCCAATCACAGCTGCGATTAAGACATACTGAAATCGTACAGGGCCGGGAACAACGTACAGTACACTGTAGTCCTTTTTTTCACAGTGTTGTCCAGTATAACCAGCATCACACCTGGAAGAAAGGACAATGTCCAGTTACCTGTAGCTGCTGGACTCATTTTTATAGTCGGCCCGTACACATTTATCTTCATTGTGAAATTGGGGCTGTTTATTTCTCTCTTTAAAGAGATGCTACTTTGTAGATATGGCTTTCGACTATGTCCTTTCAACGAGATTTCTTTGTGTTTTTGGTTTCAAAGGTATGAGGTTTTCTTCTATACTTATAATAAGATTTTGAGGACAGGAGGGTTGGTACGTAGTTTGTGATGATGATATAGAGAAGCAGTGGATGTCCAGAAATACTATTCTTTCCATATTTTTTTTCAGATGAGTTTCACGTTTTATTTAACTTGTCCTTTAATCAACCTAAGTCGACATGATTGCTTGAGAAAAGGTTTGTTTCTGAGGATATGGGAGTAAATCGGGGCTATTTATTTATTTACTTTTGGATAAAGCATTCCCTTGCTACTGTGAGAATAAATGTTGAAAAATGTTTAGACCAAGGATACAGTAAGTGATTTCTTTAATTTGTTGATCATAAAGTTGCCTACTTATGTTAGAGAGCTAAATCTCAGTAGAAAAAAAAAAACAATTATGGTGTAAGCAACAGAGTTCTGCAAAATAAACCCATGTGCTATTCATCTGAGAATGAACACTGCTTCTCACTCACTCAACCCTCATCAGAAAGCATCAGGAGACCATCTGCGTGTTAAAATTAGCATTTGACAATGAAATGAAGAAACTGTTCACATAACAATACCAACAAGGGTCAACTTGTCATTGGCTTTGTGCGATTATTTTAGTACTTCACTTGGGATTTCTCCATTCTGGGGTCTTTCCTCTTTGCCTTGAAGGGTTTAATAATGGAGACCCTGCTAAGGATGACAAGGCAGCAGGACCAGCCTCTCAGCTATGTTGACTCTACCTGGCTTCACTGGAAGGTGCTAGTGTGTTCAGTTAAGGAAAATATAAAAGGAAGACAGTTCTCAAGGGGAGAGAGAGAGAGAGAGAAGAAAGAGTGAGGAGGAGGAGGAGGAGGAGAAGAGACAGAAACTCCTTTCGCTGTATAACAACACACAACCTATTTCATCATATGCCACTTGTAGATTCCTTTAATAAAAATACATTTGTTTTTCCACCTTGGGTTTACCATATTTTTACCATCTCAATAAATATGTTCTATTCATGAATATTCAGCACATATTTATATTTATTAACTAAGTCCAGACAAGCAATTTCTTTGTGTCTCAACTGAGTTAGAATCTGTGGAGGTATAGCTAATAACCGCACTATACAAGGTTTGTGGGTAGCAGATCCACAGAAATTAGTATGTGTCTAGCAAAACCAAGATTGATAAAATTGATTGGACACCTGAAGGACTTTGGAAAAGATGACCCCCCCAAAGCAACGACGTTATCTTATGTACCCTAAGTCCTCATCCATTCATTTCAGAAATATTTATTGACCTCCTGTTATGTGCCAAGAGCTATTCTATGACCATGGGAAAGAGCAATGAATAAAACAGAGGAATCTGAGTCTTTAAGAAGCTTGTAATGCCCAAAGTACAATTTGAAATTCTACCAGAAGAGTATACATAATGATATGTTACATAGTACTCAGGTATGTAAGGCACACACATTCCATGGTTTTCTAGTGGGTGTCTGTGTGTGTGTGTGTGTGTGTGTGTGTGTGTGTGTGTGTAGGAGAGTCAGTGAAAAGTTTTGCTGCTGATCACCCAGTCAGGCAGAATGCCATGCAATTCTTTGCAAACATCCAGAATTTAGTTCTCTGTGTTTACTTTATACATTTTAAAAATTAAAGAGTGAAAACATTACCTGCAAGATGGCTCCTGCATATTGATAGAATGCTCACACTTCCCATGCATGCAGAAACCATTGAAATGTTCTGGGCAAGGTATGTGGTGTTCTCTTGCACTTTCTTCTAACTTGTTCGCATTCTCTGTGAATACAGAAAAAAACAGGCACTCCTTGTAAATACTTTCTCAGCCCAGTAAGATCAACCAGTACATTAAGAAGCAAAGCTATGGTAGGCAAAGGTATTTAAAAGGGCAAGAACTAAAAGGCCATGCTTCAGAAGAAAGAGGAAGAATTGAAAGACAGACATCTTCACAAGTGTGTTTAGAGATGAAACTGCAAAATTACCCAGTGCTTTTCATGCTTTTATGCAATTTCTTCCATCTTTAATAGGCAGTGATGTTTGTATAAGTAGTCAGACAGCTTTAATTTTCCTTGTGTAGAGACTGTACATTGATCATAAAATAATTCAAGAACTATCTTATTTTTTGAATTTCAAAGCCCAGCATAATGTCCCTAAGAGTAAATGGCTGCAATACCTTGATACTTTCTCAGTGGGGTAGCTTAAAAGTTAAAATATAGCTGTGTTCAGTTGTTAAACAGACGTTTTCCAAAACTAAATGCAAATTGCAACAAACATATTCTTTCAGGGTTTTTTCATTTACTGTGAAGGGGAATTCTACTAGCACCCATACATTTTCTTATTGCCAAAATAAAACTATTGAAAGAGCAAATGTTATTTCAGAATCATTTATGGAGATACTAACACAGTACATATTGAATGCTCTAAGTGTATTCCAATGCATAATAGCTGGCCTATGTTAACAATGTGATGTGAAAGCTAAACTTACAATAAAGAAAAAATTTGTGTTCTAAAGTGAACACTTTCCCCTGTCATTAATAAGTTTTGTTTTCTTATGTTTCTACAAAGATACTAAAATATGTTTTCTGACCTTTAGCCCAAATATATTTGCTTCATATTTGTAATACTATCTCTAAATAGTCTTTGATTACATCATCTTATAATATCAAGTTTGCCTTTTTTGAGTCTTTTCCAAAATCTGCGACCTGACTTGACAAACTTTAAAATTCTTGCCTAAACACATGAAAAATATAATTGTCTTGATTTCAATCTGAGATACTCTTCAATCCACAGCAAGAGAAGTAATGGAAGCAGTGGTAATAGAAGATTAAAAATGAATTACTATTTTTATGAAATAAATTATTTCCTATTATTTCACATACAGGTATAGCTTTTATCACAGTGCATCCTTATAGTTTGGTACTGGCAGTCATGGATGATGCATATATTCATCAGGAGAAAAAATACCTTTAATATGGGTGAATTGGACAAATGCATTATTTATGTTTAAGCAGAGCTGTAAAATATCTATGATTTTAAGATCTAATTAGTCATCTGCAGAACTTTTAAGTTTGAAGTATATTGTTAAATATGTTAAGTGTTTTCCTGTGTAGGAATATTTATGCACATTTGTATGATGGGTAATATTTCAAATTACAGCTCAAATTAATCAAGGATTTATCATAAGTATGCTAGAGAGACTGGAGATGGCATTTAAATCATTCATTTGTCCTATATTTGTGTCTCTTTACCTATTTAGGTGATATTTTGTTTGTATTATATTCCTACTTTGATGATTATTGTTAAAATGAATGAACCACTTCCATGGAAAAGACTAAAAATATACAAAATTTTCTCTTTTGGTTTCTCCCATTCTTCCAAGGTACTTTAGAATTTTATGTCATGGTGTTTTTAGTAACAAATTACAGCTGTAATGAGCAAACACACAAAAATTGAAATAAATAATGTTGGGTGAATTTTCCAATATGGGAATATGTGACCAAAACAGAAGCAGGATGACGATGCTATTTTGATGCAGCTTGAGATGGCTTGTGGTCATTCATGAATCTGTGGTGAAGACTAGGCTCATTTGTTGCCGCTGCCAAGAGGCTAGAAGCTAGAGTGGTCAAACCATGCGCCTGCTGTTTAAAGGCGACTTTCACAGTAGGGTTTGCCAGCCTCACTGCTGATGTAACGGACCAGCACTGATGCTCACTCTTATTTCTGGATCTTCTCCCCATAACAAACTATTCAACGCTTCTATTTAGTGTTTGTTAGTAACCCTTTAGTGTTTCCACACACCTGCATGCAGGAGAATTTTCTGTTTAACTTCCCTCTACTTCAGTTATGCATTGTGATTTCAGGCATGGTATTTTTCAAACACATCTTATTAGGACTATTTTTCTTTTTGTCAGTTGCAAAAGAAGATCAAGAATTTTCTTAACTCAAAATCCATTTTTAGGCTATTTTATTTTTAACTCCATCCCTCGCCCCATACTGTTTTTGTTTCTGGATTTGTACCATATTCATAATTATGAACCGAAGTCCAAGGGCAAAGTAAGAGATTGTTTGAGTGAGGCTGCTGCCTTAGTGTAGTAGGAACCAGATATTTCCACAAAGTTCATTATCCAGACAGGATGATCACGTGTGAGGGCAAGAGTTTCCATCATAAAATCTGCTAATTAGTTTATACCATTCCTTATGAGCTTGGAGTGCTCTGTTATGTTGCTCGTAGGATACTGTCAAATAAGAAAGTTAGAGAGATCGAAAATAAGTGAGTAGAAGAAATGATCCCTGAGCAAGAAAATGAAGAATCATCAATATATGTAGTCAATCCAATCAAGTAAACCAGTTGTTGAAAACCTGAATATATAACCACTTCTAGTAATGCAATACACATATTTTAGAAACGAGATTTGAGTATATTAAGAAGAATAGAGACACAGAAAATCTAATATTCCAACCAAGTTTGTGTATGGACAATGGTATTTGTGACCCTGATGTTTATGCCTAGGTATTCAAGCAATCCTGAAGCACTTAAAGATTTAAAATCATCTAAAAATGATACTTTGGAGGTCTGTATGTTTCCTACAGTGGCTGATGATTTAGACATCCATTTCTCTGTCCTCCACTGAAAGAGGTTTAATGTAAGTTTTGTGCTCTTTCTGCTAAAAGAGATAGTGACAATGGTAGAAACTCTCCATGTTTTTGTGTAAAATCTTCAACTAGTTTCCTACTAAATATTCACAAATGATTTATTCTGAAAGGGATCATGACCCTGTTAAGAAACCATTTCTGGTATAATCTGAGTTAATTGCAGCAGAGCTAACACGGTTGCATGCCCATTGCAGGTCAATGCTCTAGTCAAGAGCTATAGAAGTGGGTCGCTCTGAAGCACAGCTACATGTATTGTTTCTATCCTGGCACATTCAGGGAAAGAGATGGGGGAGGGAGGCAAGAGACAGAGGGAATGAGGACTGGCAAGGTTTTAACTTTTCATAACTCAAGTAAGGGAAGTGGGTAGAAAAGGGGCAGAGCCGGGCATGGCGGTTTAGAGACTTAAATCAATATAGCCCAGAGTGTGTGTACGTGTGTGTTCAGCATTATCTCTGCCTTTTTCTTCCCCAAAAGCTGGAAGTAAGATGTTGTTCAGAGAATTAATCTATCAAAGCAACACATTATGGATTGAAGCAGAAATATGACAGTGTAAAACTTGCCTAAAACTATCCACGTATCCAAAGAAAGAATGTTTCCTGGGACAAGGGTTAGAGATTGGCAAAAGAAGCTTCTGAAAGTCATGTTCTCTATTCAAGTGCTCTCCAGGGTGGTGTTGCCCTGAGAAGCCAATCCGAACTTGAGAACCCAGAGTCCCAGGTGCAGAAATGGATGCACAAGACTATTAGTGTCTGATGCTGCTAACTATTCACTCAGTCAACGCATTTCCCTTGTTCTGATGCTCTGTTGTCTGAGCAGTTTTAAAATAATTTGATTTCTACGTAGCCTACAGTACCACCTGGATTTCTTATCCATTTGACAGTTGTATATTTCATATGAGTTGAATTGATTAGTTCTGACTTTCTGTGTATTTTTTTTTTTTTTGGCATAAGTCAGCTTTCTCCAGCCCACTCAGTTCTGGCGTTTTGTTAAGATCAAACTTCTGCACTTACAAGCTAGAGGACTGGCCGGGCCCGGCCCATGGTGCACTATAGTCTGGGAGGCCTTGTGGGGGCTGGTCAGATGATATTTCTCTGGAGATAGCACTACTTTGCTTTAACCAGGCCTTTCTTTGGAATATCTACAGCTCCCTGTGCCACTGATTTGCTTCTGTGTAAGGATTTCAGAGTTAAGTTGGAAAGATCCTAAACTAGAGGTAACATGGAGGATTCAGGAGATGTTTTAAGAGGCAGATTTCTACTGCACATTTTTAAGCAACTAGAGCCGTTCAGTAAGTGAGTGAGTAGTAGAGTGAAGTAGTGAGTTTCTGGTGGTAAAAAGAAGCCTTCTTACTACTGCTCAGATTCTGTAGTGTGTTACTGTGTAGGAGATTTGATTATTTCAGATCTCTAGGTTCTTTGAACTCTAAAAGTAATATTTATTTTTACTGCTAATGTTTACTTAAAATAAATTACCAATAAATATATACTGATATTTATTGTACAATATTATTTTTGATATGCTGGGAAAAAGAATTAAACAAGTAGGAACATTATTTAGGTGTAGTAAATAAAGGAAATAAATCACTTTGGCTTAATTATGGGGACATTTTACTTTATCAAAGGGCATACGATATCTTAAATATTTACAATGTCTATAGTTCGGACATTCTAGCATAAAGTGAACTCTTTTATGCATTATCTTCCTTTGCAGGAACAATATGTTTGTGGATTAAATTCAATTTCTTATTTTATTTTATTTTTTGTTTTGGGAACACATATATTTAGTAAAATTGCAAAGAAAAACAAGGAAATAGTAAACACAAAATTTACAGTAATGCTTAATTTTGAAGGCAAAAGAGAGGCAATGGGAGAGACTCGATTTTTTTGGGGGGGATTGAGTAGTTCTTTTTTTTAAATTTTATTTTATTATGTTATATTAGTCACCATACATTACATCATTAGTTTTTGATGTAGTGTTCCATGATTCATTGTTTGCGTATAACACCCAGTGCTCCATGCAGTACGTGCCCTCCTTAATACCCATCACCAGGCTAACCCATCCCCCCTCCCCCCTCCCCTCTAGAACCCTCAGTTTGTTTCTCAGAGTCCATAGTCTCTCATGGTTCG